TGCGACTCAAGAAGTGGCTCTCAAACCAAACTGTGATTTCATTCACTTACTCCTCAAATACCAGTTGAATTCACTGTACAGTTGTGGCACAGAATCGTGTTGTTGTGAATACATTGGTCTAGAGTTTGCCTTCAAAATGATGGCCAAATCGGATCCATGCGCTCACGAACTTCACGACCTGATGGCTAAACTGGACAATAAATGTCTCGTCAGTAATGATAATAACTCGACACAAAAGTTGGTAGAAAAATGTCATTTCGGTGGCAAAAGGGTTACGATTCATATACTTAGACGAGTAGTGATTCCGCGTAAGTCCTACCATTCCTATGGCTATACCAGTCCTGAGACCAGAGATGAGGTCAATAAAGTGGGATTAGAGGTCAGTGCCAATTGGTATTGGATTTGTTTGCTGTTTTTGTTGCCAATTATCAGCACTTTGTTCTTGATCATTCATTTTGTGATCAAAAATCCAATCAAACATGAGTTTAAACAGCCGCTGAATAACGGACACAAATGTCAGCCTAATATCTATACCACCGTTTAAGATGAATTAGGTACAGAATTTTGTACCAGGTCATAAACCTATTCATGCTAACAAGTAAATACTAAAGTTTTTATTAAAAATCTAAAAATACTTCAAACGAACAAATTATAAAGTTATTTATTTTCATTTAACTATAAAATTAATAATTAATTACCAGGTCATAAACCTATTCATGCTAACAAGTAAATACTAAAGTTTTTATTAAAAATCTAAAAATACTTCAAACGAACAAATTATAAAGTTATTTATTTTCATTTAACTATAAAATTAATAATTAATAATTAATGTATTAATAAAGTAAATAACCGATAATTAAATTAAGGTTAAAATCTAAAGAATACAGTATAGTATATATCATATTATGTCTTATAGTATTTAAAATAAATATTTAGTATTAAAAAGACAATTAAAAATGTTATTAAACTAAATGAAACTTATGCTAAAATAAAAGTGATGAAAATGTTAATTGAATTTAACTTTTTTATTGACTTTTGTGTCACTTTTGGATCCGACTTCTGATTCGAAGTAACCGTATGTATAAGACATGGTTTGTGTCGACACTTTAGGCTTTAAATAATTAATAAGCGACTGATCGTTGCCTAAGAAGTTATACCATTCAGTCACCAGAATTCGTGTCCAATTCTTATCCAAGAATTCAATTGTCTTTGTTTTCAACTCTTCATTCATTGCATTCATTCATTGTTTTCAATGTTTTGAAAGCATTTCTTGTATTGATTTGAATGAACACCAAATTCTCGCAAATATTCTTCAGCCCACAAACCATATACTTCTTCGACACATACAGCAGTTGTTCCGTCATTTCCTCCAATTTGTCTAATTTTCCAAAACAAATAAATTTCAGAAACTCTTCGAACACTTCCGGTTTGATATCATCGATAATCATTACATTTGTCTTATTGTCATTCATGTCGTATAAAAACATCTTTTGAAAGACTTTGGATTTAGAGCTGAGAACGGCTTCTGAGACGAAGAACTCTTGATCGCCGACAACGAGCCGACAATCGTTAAGATCTTTGTTATTATAGCTATTCTCAAGACACAGATTCTTGTTGTGGCCAATCATTTGTGTATTATAAGTGATATCGAGACCAATGGTGAGGGTATCGTTTGGCAGATATTTATGCTTTTGGTTCACAAGTGCTGAGAATCTAATAAACTTGGACACCTTGCTCAGTTTACACTTTGGTGGCCATAGTTTCAGTTCACTTTGGATGAAGACATTGTTTCGTGAGTCCAGACAATAGACACAGTATTGGGTGACCACTGATGGCTCAACACATTTGAATCGATACAGAAATATAGTGATGTAGTCGTTGTGGTGATTGACACTCATTTGCTATTCATCTGATCCAATGCGAAAAATATCACTGATTTCAGCCATGTCTTTCATATCAGAAAAGGATATGATTTTGAGCACAACTTTTGTCTTATAAACCATTTGTGGAGACATTTTGTGACCAATTTTGGATACAAGTGGTTAAGTATTGTATGAATTAATGGTTTACTTCAAAATTATGCGACGAAAACCGTTAGACTAATTGTAATCATAAAAATAACAACAATAGGCTTATACTGTATGCGGAATAATAGCAATTAAACAATGAACTCAATTCTCATATCAATTCAATTCAATTTTCAAACTTATTGCTTATTTTTAGGTCCGTTTAATTTAGAGTAATATCAAAGATAACTAATACTTGGATCAGATTCACAAAACCAGTATTAATCCAATGTTTAATCCAAACAATTTGTTAATCTCTATGATTGGCTTTTCTATCATAACTTTTGGGTATTTCTAAATATAAATGAATTCATAAATAAATGTCATAATAATCAACATTTTGCTAAACAGTTGGTCAGTGGTGTGTGTGAGTGGAGGGCCCGACTCTAATGACCCCAAACCTCAAATAGACGAGGGGGACGTAAACAGGGTGGGTGCCTGGGCCGCCTTTATCATTATACTGTATCTGTTGGGCAGTCTTCTCGTGGTATGCCTTTGCTGTGCAGGCATTGCATTCCTTGTGTGGATGTGTCTGAAGACCGGTGAAAATATGCTCAAACCAAATGAGACGACAGTGCATGTGGTCAACCCTAACGCCCCTCAACCCCCTCCGCCAACCACTCATGTCGTACACGTGTAACTGTTATGACCGCATAGTTACGGTCAAAGAGTTATTTTTGCATTCATTTATCAATTTATTTATTGTATTTTCGTATCTAAATTGCTGTCAATATTATATAATATCATTTCTGTCTATTATGGCATTCAAAATAAAATTTATCAAATTATCGTCAATATATTTGTGTGATTTATATTTTTAGTTTCACAATCAAAATTAAATATATTTTATAATATTTTCTAACTTGTACATTGTACAGTATTAAACAATAAATTGTAAATTATTTTAAGTTAAAACTATAATTCTTTTCGATATCTAATGAACAAATACATTGAACATATATAAATAAATTGTATATTTTACTTATAAAAAATTATTCTGCTTTTCATTTTGCTAATAAAATTTTAAGGTGATGACAATTAATGTAATTAAAAATAAATGAAAGCATACTAACTTATGATGTAGAAATTAAAACCAAATAACATTTTAATGATAAGAAACTTTAATTTAATTTTTTGTTGTCTTTGATGTCAGACTTGGACTCGACTTTAGACTGGAAATAACGGTAGGTATAAACCATGTAACGCATGGACACCTTAGGCTTGGGTACATTCCTAAGACCAGCGACCAGACAATTGGTGAGCGACTGGTCATTGCCTAAGAAGTTAATCCATTGTGACTCCAGAATATGACTCCAATTCTCTCTAATGAATTCAATACACATTGTCTTCAGGCGTTCATTATTGCATTCATCCATTTTTTTCAGTATTTTCAAAGCATTTTTAGTATTGATTTGAATGTATAGCAAATTCTCGCAAATAGTCTTCATTTCCCAAACCATATACTTATTGGAGACATACAGTAGTTGTTCCGCCATTTCTGACAATTTGTCTCAAGTCCCGAAATAAATTAATTTCAGAAACTCTTTGAACACTTCCGGTTCGATGTCATCGATAATCACTTCCGAAGTCTTCTTCTCTTTCATGTCATCCGTAAACATCTGCTGAAAGACTTCTGATTGAGAGCTGAGAACCGCTTTCGAGGCGAAGAACTCTTCTTTTTTTTTGGACAATGAATCGACAATCGCTGAGATCTTTGTTATTATAGCTGTTCCCAAGACATAGCCTCTGGTTGTGGGTAACGTTTATCTTAAATGTCGTGATATTGACATTAATGGTAAGACTATCGTTGGGCAGGTATTTATCCATTTGATCGGTGAGTGTCTTGAATTTGATAAAATCATGGTAACCCTGACCATGGTCAACTTTGATCTCCACCTTTTCAGACATACTCTACCGAAAGTCTTGTACTCCGAGTCCAGACAATAGACATTGAATTGAGTGACCACTGAATGCTTAGTACTTTTCATAAGATATAGATATATATTGAGATAATCCTTGTGTTGATTGCGGTAATTGATACGTATTTGCCATTCATCTGATCCAATATTAAAGGTAAGCCACAGATAAGTGTCTTTCAAATCAGAAAAAGAGATGATTTTGAGTACAACTTTAGTCTTGTAAACCATTGGTGAAGACATTATGTGCACTGATTTGGATACAAGTGGTGGAGAAGTGTTTGAATTCATAATTGAATCGTTAAATCGGTTTAAAGCAAACTATAATACATTCAAATGCTATGATTCATAAACTCGTATTCAATGGATTGTTGAAATCATAGCAATTGTACTTAATTTGATAATTTCAATTAAAGTTATTAATTAATATTAATTTTAGTTTAAGTTATTAAAATTATACATTAATTGAAAACCAAATATTATAGCACTTTAATGATTTATAGCTCTAATTTAGTTTTTCATATGGGTGTCAGACTTGGAATCGACTTTAGACTCGTTATAACTGTAAGTATAAGCCATGGATTGAATGGACACCAGTGGCTTGGATTCACTCTGGAGACCAGCGACTAGACAATTGATGAATGACTGGTCGTTGTCTAAAAACTTGTGCCGAAACTTATAAGTTATAATTAAGATCCCGTAACAGTAATCACTGAATACTAAATTAATTAAATTTGATTAAAAAGTAGTGTAAAAACTAATAAATAATGCTCAACACCAATCTATAAAAAACAAACAAAATTCTTAATTTATTTTGATTAGTTGTCTTAAAATTTACAAAATAATTATAATTATATATATTTATAGTTCGCAAACAATTTGGTATTATATAAGAAATTTAATCACACTTTCGGTGAACATATTCTATGAATTAAAAAACTTTATGAAATGTTTTGTAATAATTAATATTATTTAAAACACAAAAATAGAGATTGAAATGAATGATAAAAAGCTCATTTGGTTTTCATTCATCGAGAGTTCGGTACGGATTGCGAGCCCTATATATCTTCATCACCTTCTTGTGGGCGACCACTATTAGGATGACAACGACGGCCACACTGGACAACACTATCCCAGTGATGGCCCAACCCGTCAGCTTCTTGTCGGAGTCCGTGTGCGGCACCGGTTGGGGCTGTGGTTGCGGTTTGTCTGACAAATTCATTTCAATTAATACATTATATTTAAAACTAGTTAAGGATTAAATTAATGAGTACTTGAAGTTGGTATCGGAGTGGTTGGCAAAGTGGAGGGTGTGTCCGGTGTTTGGCTGGTTGTGGTGCCGTTAGCGGTGGTAGTATCCGGTGATTTAGTGCTGCTGGTGGTTGTGTCCGGTACTTTTGTGGTCGATGTAGTTATGGTGCCATTGGTGGTAGTTATGGTGCCTTTGGTGGTAGTAGATGGGGTAGTTGTACTAGTGGTAGTAGTGGTGGTGGGTACCTGAGGACCTATTTGGTAATAAATCAATTTTATAATTATCACTTTCATTATATTTATCAAATTTTAACATTCATGCATTCAATCAGTGATGTGATCAAGTCAAAGTGATGTGAAAATCGTTGTGACTAGCAAGTTCACTTACATATGCCTTTATGCTGTATTTTAAGCCATTTGAATGGTTGAGGACAGGGGTCTTCGGGTGTCTTATCGTGATCTGATTTACATGCCGTTCCGTTTTCAGCTATATGTAACAAATTAAATTTATAAATTCAAAATACAAAAATAATTCATTGATCAGGGAACTACAAATAAAAAATTGCGAGGTATAGGGACACAACTGGTTAGTAACAGGCTACGGTATCATGGTCAATTTGATAATTATTCTTACGTTTGTCTTTAGAGCCGCAGTACCAGAAGGAACAGGTCTTCATTTCTATACAACCCTTGCAGTCCTTAAACGTCGAGCACTGGTCTATATAATCAAGTGATTAGTGATTAACCAAACAATTAGTTTTAATTATCTGTTATTTCCATACCATCGGCACAGCTCGTGAGGACTATAAGTCCTGCGATTATGGCTATTATATGAATGATTTGCATATTTGATGTGTGTTTTGAGATTTTTGGTATAATTCTGTAATAAAATAATATTTTTAGTAATCAATCAATTTATTTATATTCAATTATTTTTTAATAACTTACATTTTTTGAGATTGAAGTGTGGATTGTATTATATTTTAGTTATAGTTTAC